CAAAAAAAAAACATCGACCGGATGTGGCGCTGTAAAAAAATGGTTCCGATGGCGACGGCGTTCTTGACCCCAGGAACCCCGCAGTCCAAGCGACGGCGGCGTCGTCGTCGTCGTCGGAGAAGGGAACAGGTGGCCGCGAGGTGCGTGTCTGCTCCACCGCTCCCTCCACATGTTTTTGTTCCTCTCCGCACCGCTCTCCCGGACGAGTCCAAATCCGTTTTTGTTTCGGCGCGGATTTCCTAATCGATTTCCACGTCAGGCTGCTAGTGCTACGATTACTTTAGCCATTTGCTGCGCACATCTCGGTGAGCTCGCTGTCACAGTGCACTGGTGGCGGCGGCGGCGGGCAGGACGAAGGGAAGATGGCACCGCCGCGGCGCCTGTGCGTGACCGGCGGCGGCGGGTTCATCGCCTCGTGGCTCGTCAAGCTGCTCCTCTCCCGCGGCTATGCCGTCCACGCCACCCTCCGCGACCCATGTACGGACGCAGTTCGCCTCACGCCTGCGCAACCGGCCCCCCTTGCGATTGCAGTTGATTCAGTTCCGTGTCATAGATGTGATTTGCATTCATTCATCCATAGTCGTAAATCAATTAGAGTTCCGTGTCTAGATGAGCTTTGCATTCATTCATAGTTGAAAAATGTGAACCAATGTTCTGTGTCGTTATGTTCTTTGCATTCATTCATGGTTGTTAAATGTTAATCAATCGGAGTTCCGTGTCCGCATGAAGAAAGCAGGTTTTAATTGATCCTGGGCGAAAGCGAATGGATAAAACAAAGTGCTTAGTCCACGGGTAAGTACAGTGTTCTGATTAATGTCTGAATGCTCTTTCAGGTGACCCCAAGAATGTCCACCTCAAGCAGATGGACGAAGCCCGGGAGAATCTGCACCTGTTCAAGGCCGATGTGCTCGACTACGACACGCTAACACGTGCGTTTGAGGGGTGTGAGGGGGTCTTCCACCTCGCCACACCGGTGCCTGAAGATAAGATTGTTGATCCTGAGGCAGGTGTTCGTTCCAACTAATTCTTCGTTGTCGTAAAATCAGTTCATGTGCTGCTGTAGCTACATTATTTTGGTACAGTATACTGAACTTGTATTGATGGTAAAGCAGCATTGTGAATTATACCTATTGTGAGTGTTGAACACTGTAGAATTGCTAGTACTTTTCTCACCACAGTTTAAATGCATTTGTGCAGTCAGAAGTATTGGCTCCTGCTGTGAAAGGTACTTCAAATGTGCTGAAGGCCTGCTCAGCTATGAAGGTTCAGAAGGTTATTGTCTTGTCATCCAATGCTGCTGTTGATTTTAACCCGAATTGGCCTCAAGACAGACTCAAAGATGAGAGTAGCTGGTCAGACAAAGACTTCTGCCAGGAGAATGAGGTTAGAGATACTATTTAGTAAAGAAAAATACCAAAGCACTATGTATACATCACAATTCATTGGTGGGCACACATGACTACTTTTCACGCGCGTCATTTTTTTTCTCTGGTTCACTGTATTGACATGTGTTCTCAACAAAGAAAGTCTTCCCAGAGATAATTTCCACAACGACTAAATTGTGACCTTTACTAATTTGTGCTTGCAGGACTGGTATTCTATCGCCAAGATTGTGGCTGAACAGGCATCCTTGGAATATTCAGAGAAACATGGATTAAACGTTGTTACGCTTTGCCCTCCTTTAGTTTTTGGCCCATTGTTGCAGCCAACTGTGAATACAAGTAGCAAATTCTTAATCTATGTTATTAATGGTAATACTGATCTCTGTCCATCTGTTCTCTTTTATTGCCTGAAATTTCACATTAATAAATATCATGTTTGACTTGGCAAGTTGGTTTAATCCAAGTCTATCTACCATTTGAGGAATGAATGTATTCCATATGTCCAACCAAAAGACTTTTGGATGTGGATCATACGGCTATCTGCTGTTAGATATAGATGAGATCATGCTGATAGTTCCTGTTGTTAGATATAGATGGGATCAATCACATTGATAGTCCCTGTTGTTATATCGATCTGCTCTTTAAATTCAATCAGTGGAGAAGTCCAATTTTGTTTTGGCACTGGTCATTATCTAGAACTTCTTGTTTGCAGATGATAACTAGGTTCCTCTCTTGGCACCTGTTTGTCCTCTGTATTCCTTTTCAACGATAGCTGCTATGCCTTTGTATGATGCTCTACAGCTGTGAGATGAGGGCATCCATCCATAAGCTGATCCTTTACAACCTGTTGCATGTGCCTGCGCATTTGATACCGCATTCATTGTCGATATTATGCACTGAACAGCGATTGACAGAAGCACACAATGCCAAATTCCATGCTAGAATTGTTGAAGCGGCACCTTTGGCGTGTTGTTGAAGTAAGCTTTTGGAAAATGAGTAGTCCTGAAATAAATGATAGTTTTCCTTCTTTTTTTTTTTGAGATGGGGCCCTAGTTCTCCCGTCTTATTCTTGCCGTCGCACACGGCAGAAATCTGTTATTGCAACATTGTGTCACATGGTAGACTCCATTAACTGGTACATTGTGTCACAATTCACAGGAGGCCCTGACGTGATGAGCAACAAGCTGTGGCACATTGTAGACGTCCGTGACGTGGCGGACGCCTTGCTGCTTGTGTACGAGAAGCCAGAATCATCTGGGAGATACATTTGTTCGCCGAATAGCATCTGCGCAAAGGACTTGGTGGACTTGCTGAGGAAGATGTACCCACAGTACAGCTATGTGAACAAGTAGGTTATCTCACCTCTCACGTTTGCTCGGTCAGAACTTATCACACTGCACAATTACCCCGCAGCCAGTTCATGATCTGAAGAAACCTTGCTCTGCTTTTTACAGATTCGTTGACGTGGACCGTAAAGCGCCGCTGTCATCGCAGAAGCTGAATGGTCTGGGCTGGAAGCCGAGGAAGCTGGAGGAGACGCTCTCGGACAGCGTGGGCTGCTACGAGAAGGCCGGCCTTCTGCAGGGTTCCGCCGCGCGTCCTTGCCGGCTCCCGCATCTGTTCCGTCTGGCTGGTGATCAGTGAATGAACCGTGGTGGCTGGTGCTTTGTTTGTTTTATGGTTGAACTTCTGTAAGCTGTTGTGTCGCTGGACGGAGTCTCGCAACAGCAACAATGGCCGAACACCACTAGTGGCTGGGGCGTGCCAAATGCGCTATGCTTTGCTGCGTAACAGCGATGAAATAAATAAAATCTGTCCCTCGGCCTGCTCGTCCTGACGGCCGCAATCCTGCTATATCTGCCACCCCTGTCTAAGGATGGCAATGAGGGACGATGCTTCGGTGCCATCTATCTTTGTGTCTATGACATGTGAGCCCAACAGATGACTGGCTCATATGTCAATGATCCAAAGGCAGGTGCCTTTTAAGGCACCGAAGCTGTGTCCGGCAATGAGTAAGGTATGGGACGGATAGAGCAATACCATATCCATACGCATTTAGTTTTTTTACGGGTGATACACATTTAGTTAATGGGTACAAAACACTACCCATACCTGTACCCATGGGTATGAAATTTTACCCGTACCTATACCCGACGGGTACCCAAATCCATTGGGTACCCAACGGGTAGATCAAACAGTACACAAGTTATTCACAAATTTGCATTCATTTATAACACATTTGGCAAAAAAAATCCATTGATCTCAACTCAATAATAGATAGATGAGTACATGACAATTATCTCAATTCAAATTGACAATTGGCGACAAATTTAACATAGGTTCGTAAGCACACGACACAACTTTCACCTAGGTACACTTGTGAATCACGGGTAGGATTCACATGTCAGTATAAACGGGTAGGGTATGGATATATCCATGTATAAAGACTATACTCCTGCCCTATTCTTGACTTGACAGATAGGGTATAGAGACCTATTCTTGACTTAACGGATAGAGTATGGATATTACCCGTGGGTATAAAATTATGCCCATACCTTGTCCATGTGCATATGATATCCGCTATGCATGGATAAAATTACCATCCTTACCTTGTCTGACTGTAAAAAGGAACAAGATTTCCCTCCATTTCTACGCTAGCCTTTTGCCGCGATGAGCTAAATAAAGGCTGTATTGCCATGAGGCAGCGCTACAGCTAGATTAGAAGATCAATCTAGGTGCCGTGCACTTGGGCATATACAATGAAATAGGTTATTCTCAGGCTGTGAGGGCAAAAGGAACTAGTAACAAAAAATAGCGACAATCCACTTCTGAGTCCAGACTCATCTGCACCCGCATTAAAGATTTTTTAAAAATAAATACTAGAAAAATTAAAAAAAATCCATTTTTCCCATGGTAGATAATTTAATGCGTGAGGTCCGCTCCAATTTTCAAATCATTTTGACATCTGAGTAGCTATCGGCAAAAAATACAAATCCAGGGTCTATAAAAAAGTTTATTATTCATGCACTATTCTAACCCGATTTGCCATTTTTGCTGAGAGCTACTCATATGTCCAAATAAACTGAAAATAGGAGCGGACCTCACGTAATAAATTTTCTACCACGCAATTTTTTATGATTTTTTTGTGTTTTTTTTAACTAGGTGCAGATGAGTTTGGACACCGAAACACTGCACTCCAAAAATAAGGAAAATATTGTGTACATGTTTTTAAATTACAGTATGGACTCCTGATTAAGTTCACAAACATTAACAGGGGTGCCAATATTGTCTATGTCTGCATGTTCTTATTGTGCAAACAAGAAGTAACAAAGAATCTCTCAGCAATTACTGGAACCGCATATACGTGTGATTCATGATTTTCAAATGTTAAACCTGATCGATGATCATCTCAATTTCTCCTTCCAACTTAGAGCCTCCTGGATATTAAATGCCGCCATCTCATACAAGTTACGAAAAGGAAACATCGACTTAACATGTTGAACGTGACTTGCAGGTTTATTAAGGAATCACATTTGGATAACTCCGTAGACTTGCAGGACACTTTTCTTTTTCTTGCAATTTTTTTTCCTCCAAATGAATAAATCATACATCAATGGCAAATAAAGCAGTAATCCGTCGGTCCTAATGTTACATATGCTGTCAAAATAATAATATAAGATGTTACATATATCAGTTGTAATAACATCTTATATTATGGGACGGATGGAGTAACAGTCTAGTGGCACTTCAAAACTTGCAGTGACATTATGTCAGATGGAGAAGGGGCTGGGTGGGGTCGCCCACATGGAGCTAGAGGAGGGGAGCATCAATGACAGGGAGGATGCAGAAGAGAGGGCGGGCGGGAGGAAGAAGAGTGGGGAAAGAAGATGCGAGGCTAACAAGTGAGACTCATGGCGCGACCAGGTCTCAAATATAGCGAGGCCTATATCTGGCCATGGGCCGGGCCGGGCCGGGCTTGGGCCGGGCCTAAAAAAGCCCATGACAGAAAACTAAGGCCCAAGCCCTATCATCGGGCCTACTTTTCAAGCCCAAGCCCGGCCCATCTCATAAAAAGCCCTGAAAAGCCCTTAGGGCTTAGGGCCGTGGGTCGGGCCTCTTCCTTAAAATGCCAATATGCCAAGCCCAAGCCCGTCCAGGCCCTGTTGATGGGCTCAAAACTCAGGCCCAAGCCTGGCCCATGGACAAGCCCATCGGGCCTAGGCCCTGGATTTTAGGGCCGGGCCTGGGTGGGGCCGGGCCTGAGATGGCCCAGTATTCCCAGCCTCAAGTATGGGCCGGCCTAACTTTCACATAGTTCCTTTTTTCAACGTTTCTTCACTCTTTCGTTTTTCTGTTTTACTTTTGTCTATATTTTAAATACTGTACATATATTCCAAAACTTAATTTACTTCAAAAAAATAAAAAAAGAATTTAAATTTTTTTAACACAGTGTAATTATTTTGTTAGCGTAACTTTAAAAAATGTTGACAGCTTTAATAAAATGGTTGTTGCATTTCCAAAATGCTCATGCATTTCAAAAACATGTACATGAATTTTTTTAAGTTTATACAGTGTACACAGATGTTATTGTCATTCAAAAGGATGTTAAATATCTATAGAAAAATGTTTTGGGTGTATAAGTAAAATATATAACGCGTACAAAAACATAGACATCAAAACATATATTTGACAAAAACATATATGAGAAAACATATATTTGACAAAAATGTCTTGTTCTCGTCAAAAGCAAATCATCGGTGTTAGGGCTTGTTATTTTCCTGTCTTGCGAAGTCTGTTATTTAAAACTACAATTGTATGGTTCTTATCCGAATAAAGCAGTTTATTCTAAAAAAATCTATCTTAGAAAAAAGAATTATCGGATTTTGCTAATCCCAGTTGACAAAGAATTACTTAGTTCTCGGCGGACGTCAAGGACCATTTATCCGATGTCGAGATACGTGCACAATTCAACGTTAATGTTTAACTTTGAGAGGAAAAAAATACTTTTTTTTACCACTGGATGAACAAAATGTACAGCACGGTGAACATTATTGTAGATATGCATGAGGTATATTGAGACAATATTACTTCCTTTTACACTTGATGGACATATTCTTCTTCTAATACATCGACGCACACAGCTTTTGTGTGTTTGCAAAAAAAGAAAAGACTACGGTTAGAATCCTGGGGCAGTTACAGTTCAAAAATAAACTAGAACCTATGGTTTTTGTAGTAATAGTCTTACGTAGGAACAATATTTATGTTGAACTTTTTTCAAATCTGCTTGATTTTTTTGGTAAAGTCAACTGAGAATTTGTAAATTTTAAATCAACTGAGACATAGGCGCTTCTAAAAATGTGCTTATCACAGAGCTAAACATACTTGTACTACTACCTTTAAAATCCCGGGAAGATAAATAGGTTTGATCCCTTGTGGTATAGGCGGAGTTTCACGGGATAATCATTCACAGTAGGGCTATTTTGAGGCTTAACGAGAAAACCACTCTGAAGAATACTGCCAAACAAGTTACTCCTCAGCGTGATGTCCATATTTGTGCAAATATTTTTAGATTGTGTAGTCACATCGACACCCATAACTTTTTAAGAGAAGAATTTTTCATGTGTGTAGCTTGACATACCCACGCAACTGAATGAATAGCACACATAACATGTAATAGTAATAACACCATTAATTTGTCGAAATGGACCTGTGTTAATGCAGATAGTTGTTTGTTAGGTAGGGGCTGCCAACGCTTTACTAAGGGAAATCTCGTCTTATGTTAAATTACTCCTGAACTAAAACTACAACAAAAAAACAAGTGCGTGAATTTTATCCGGGTCTCTTTGCTAGATTCTAGACGACAAATATCTCGAGCACGCATTTGTCAAGGATTTTTTGTCCACCAAGTGATCTCTCAAGGTGTAGGCTATCGGTGGTGTTTGGTTCAAACATATTTTTTTTAAATAGTGACTTTACTTGTGGACTAGTTCTGCTTAGCTAGACTTGATCTCCTGAAATTTTGTTGCGTGTAAGTGAAGATAACAGACAACCTTCAGTTCATCAGCGCAATCAGCTCGGCATTCCAACTTGCGGTCTAAAAGATTTTGAAAAATCATGCTCACACTAGTCCCCGCGGTGTTCCCCCGTAGGTGACTCGGGCGATGACGCTAGATCTCACCACAGGCAACCCCCTTCCTTCCTCGCCAACGTCGTCGGCCGAAGCTGCCAAGGTAACACCCTCACGGTGGCTGGCGGTGGGGCACCTTCTCTCCTCTCCTCGGTGGTGGTTGGCACGGGGCGACGAGCCGCCAGGGCGGAGACGTTGGGCGTGCGAGGGGCCCGGCGGCGCGAGGATGGTGTCTGCCGGTGGCGGCATGCTCATTGTAGCAGCGTGACCGCTGTCAGATGACAGCTCGTGGCAGAGTTAATCGCCGATGATTGTAATACTATTACTGAGCAATAAAGCTACCTTGTTTGATCAAGAAAGGGAACAAGATTTCTAAACAAGAGGACATTGGTGAGGCTCGCTCAGTCGGCGGTGAGGGTGGAGTTTTTTTAATCCTTTTTAGCGATGAGTGTTTTTTGATCTTGTGGTGACACTCCTCACCACGCAGTGGGGAAATCAGGTGCCAATGTTGTGTGAT